GAATTTATGACGTCTGTAGATTGTCAATCAACATGCCGTGTCAGCTACTTGCTATTTCAAGTTCTACTACAAATTTGGATCCTCAGGGTTTCCTCTCTTTCGTCTCCCTCCAAATTTCGTCGTCTTATGTGTTTTTGTAAAAAATAATTTTTCCTTAATAAACATTGAACAAATCATTCTTGCTAGTGTGTTAATTTTTTCTATTGTACAAAATAATACCTCCGACAAAACTTTATTTACCTCCGTAGCTCGGACGGTATTTGATTTTGCTTACTAACGTTCAATCCACAAAACTTGCTTATCTGTAATTGTATATTATTGTATTCTTATATATATATACTGTATATATATATATATAAAACGACTCATCGTTGGAAGAGTTGGTAAAGTACCCAAGAAATCACGGTTACTTATTACTCGGTCTGCACCCACTCGGTTTCTAATTCCGCGCTTTACTTTGTGTCGCCATAGTTTTTAAACTCAAATAACTCCGCGCACAGTTTATTAAGATTATTTCTACCACCTTCCATCCGAATTTACCACCCGAAGATTATTTAAAACAGTGAAAGATCAATCATTCAAATGAAACCATTGAATTTGTTTAATTCTAATTCGCTGCCCTCTTTCGAATCGGTCAACAATAATCATTGGGATCTCTTGGCTTCCTCTTTTTATCACACTTTATACAACTCTCTTCCTTTTCAACTTTTGGTTTTGGGAAACCAAAATCTTTCAACCAATTATTATATATACTACTTTTCTCCGATATACACCAACCTGAAGCAATACTCCATAGTAAATTTGTTGCTTGCCTACACACTTCCTCTTCTCTACATTTTCTCACCAACTTTGGTAGGTGCTAGTGAAATCTTGGTTTATTTGTAATGAGATGCACGGATCGGAAATGAGAAATCATGCCTAAAACGGTTTAACGCTGTATTGCGTATAAAATAGTCCGGATGATGTTGATTATATTCGATAACTAGCTTTTATTGATCATTGTATACGGAATGCGGTCAATCGTGTTTATATTAATTCTCTTTTTTTTCTTTCTTGTTAGATTGTTCCGGCCATTTTTGTCCGTTCTTTGCAATTTTTCGCTTCAAAAACTGCCGCCATAGGCAACAGCTTTACTTCAAACAAGTCTCGATCTTCTAACCTATTCAACCTGTCGTCCGTAAGTAGTTCCGGCTCTTCCTCCTCCCAGAGGAGCGACAATGGAGGCGAGGGTGAAGCTTTGAATTCGGCACAAGACATCGAATATTGGCTTCAAAGATGTTCGATATGTTTCGATGCCCAGCTTGATTTCTGTCTGGATCTTTGCAGAGACCAATTCTGTAGAGATTGTTTTCAAAGGTAAACAACTAGATCCAACACTATACATATGTGTGAGTGAAAACATGTTAAATTGTGACACCCCGATTTTGAAATTCAGGTACGTCAAAGAAGTGGTCCAAAACTCTTGGGGACTTAGCATCACAAAGATCAAGTGCCCGGTTTGTCAAGATGTAGTTTTGCAATCAGAGTGGAGTAAGGTAAACATGATGCGAGGTCATCTTCTTGAACCCGATTGATTGAACTAATGATGATTGGAACCTTTTTTCAGTATGTGGATCAAAGCACGATTGATCTTTACAACACTTACAACAAACCATACCGTTCTTTCTCTCGATGTTGTTCTGAGTGCGGTGAAGAAGTTTTTGCCGCTCAGGTGTTTCAAGTTTGTGCCGAAGAAAAAGAAAAGTAAGTATTGACACTATATAAACGATTTCTTGGCTTTTGATCGCATCTCTGATTGTGGTTACAATAGATATTTCAGAGAGATAGCTATTCTTCTTCGCAAGTATTTGGATGTATACGGGACTGTTAAAAGCACAAAGGGAAAAAGTTCGATGGCGCAAAGTAACACAGATGCTTTCCTCGAAAGGTACCAGAGAGATTACATGGCATATATTTCTGGTGAAAACCCCAATATCGGTGTGATGGAGATGTACGAATATGTCGCCAAGAAATTATGTGAGAGTCTTGGCATGAGGTGAATTGTTAGTCATATATTTTGAGGCATAAAATAATTGTCGATTAGTTACATTTTAACTCTTCGTTCTTCTTTTCCTTAGTTTGGATTCAAATAATCGCCGACCTTCTACAAAATTCACACGGCGTAAGCTTAAAATTCACACTGATATGGTTAAATCTGCCGCCGAAATCTCTTCAAAGATTGTAGCCCTGGAGGTTAGGCCCGACGCATGGAAAGAATTGCAATTCATGCATGTGGCAAACTTCCCTCAATCTCATTGGTATTTGTTTTTTTCTATAATTAGAGGGAAGAGATTTTTTGATGCACCTCTTAATGCTTTCTTGACCGTTTTGTAGTACTCGTTGCAACAATGATATATGTCTCCAATGCGGTGAATCCACTCATCACCCTGGAATGACATGCATCCAATTCATGCGTTACAAAGTTGCAAATCCACATTTGTTCGTGTCAAATCAACATTTTCCTTGTCATGTGCATAACGACACGCTGGACGCGCTCGAAAACATCAAATGGAAACTTGCAAACTCGAAATCTTGTCCAAATTGTTCTATACTTATCAATCGTGATGATGGGTGTAATAAGGTGGATTGTTTGCATTGCGGTTATAGATTTTGTTGGATTTGCAGGAATGGTTGGTCAGAAAAATGTGGGTTTTATCAATGTAGAATGACTAAGCAAAAGAAGAGCAGGAACAAGGAAAGGCATCCTTCAACCCGCAGGTCTCATGGAGGAACAATAATACAACAACAACTGCAAACCGAGTTGCTAAGGAACAATGACACCAATGAAACTGGTGGATTACAGGAACTTCGAGATAACGAAGATGTAGAGATGCAAGAATCTTCTCAAAATACCGAAGGTTCTGAGTATGATGATGAAGATAATTATGCGGATGATGATGATAATGATCATGAGGATGATGCTATGATGATTTCTGCTTTAACAAAAGGTTTAGATGATCGAGT